GATTGATCATCATCGGCCCCGAGGGCTGCCCTGTCAATGTCGAGGGTTATACCTCTCAGAAGTGCCCTCGGGTCAGCTGTGCCATTCAACACGGCCGTACCAGCCGGGAGGGAGAGCGTAAGGACCTCAAGAGATGGCTCCCAGACACCCCTCGGCACCTTCGCCACCGGCATCTCCTCGTGCACCCCGGAGGCGGGGCAGTCATCCACTATCACCACCGGGGGGTCCTTCTTCGCAGTGTCCCCCTTCTTCGATTTCTTGGTGGCCTGGGGGGACTCCTTTGCCGTCGGTTTTCTCTTCGCGGCAGCAGCGTCGCCCTCGGGCTTCTTGAAAAGCGCACCGACGGGCTTTTGGCCACCCGCGTCCGACCCCTTCGGATCCTTGGCCGACTTGTTCTTGAATCGGGCAAGGCCTTTGACGTTCATCATATTTACTGGGATGCCTGCAAAAACAATGTGGGGTTAGAATCGAGGGGTCACCAACAAAGGGCATAAAGAATAAAACAAACAAGCAAATGAACTATTGCCCTCAGCCACTACCTCCGGAGGCTCCCTCGAACACCGGGAACTTCTCATCTGTTTCCCCCAGGAAGCGATACCTCCGGAACCCGAGGGTGTAGAGATCTCCCTTTTTGGTGCACTCCTTAATGGTGATATTCTTGTCCCGGCCCTCTGGGATCATGGCCAGAATCCTGCCGTCTTTCTCGAGGGCGGCGCTCCTCCTCTTCTCGTGCCTCCTGAAACGGTCACGTAACTCCCTCGGGAAGGGGCTCTCGGTCAGCTTCACGTAGCACCACCGGTCCTTCCACCCCTTGTTCGAGGAGGGCGCCTCAGTGAAGAGCTTGAACATGGCCACCTGCTGCAAGTTTGCGAAGCCCTCGGCATTCGCGTGCCCCCCCCCCCCCCCGACACAAATTGAAGCTCTGGAAGAAGAGGTCCAGGCTAGGCGTCACCCCCCGGGACTTGCAGAGCTGGAGGAAGCCAGTAATATAAGAATGGCTGTTCGGAGTCAGCTGGCAGGGGACCAGACCCACGAACCGAAGGTACTCCCGGAGGAAAGGATGCAGGGGGAAGCGGAGACCCATGGACACCGAGAGAACATGCACCGCTATACATCCCTCAGGAGCCCGGGAGAGGACGTCATCTGGACCCGGTGTCACCACGGTGGCCGAGGGGCCCACGTGAAGCTGAGTGACGTAGATCTCCGCCGCATCAACCTTCGACCTTATTTCCAAGGCGGCGGTGTTCAGGTAGGATTACCCCTCGGGCATATCAGGGGGCTTCCCTTGATCTGCAACGCTGCCCTTCTTCTTGGGAACAACTACCTTGGCCTTCTTCTTCCCGGGGGCCACCCGGATGGGAACTGCGTTCAGCGGCCGAGAGGTACTGGCCTCACCAGCACCCCGAGGGGGAAGGACAGCCACGGTCACCCTCGTCCTCTCCTTTGCTTCCTCCTCCTCTACAACCTGCATGGCGAGGGCCAGCTCTTCGTCTTCCACCTCCTGCTCGAAGCCCTCGGCTTCAACTTCAGCCAGCAGCTCCTTCTGCACCTCTACTGCCATCGCAACGTCCTCCTGGGCCGAGGACTATTCGTTTGAGGACTCCACATCCGAGAGGACTTCATCCTCCATCGAGGGCGCCCCCGAGATGTCTTGAGAATCACTCTGTGAAGACATTGCTGTACTAGGTCGAGGGTTCGGGGACGCTAAGTGCTCTAAGCTACCTACCTAGTCTAAGGCCACAAATACAGCTAGCTAAGAGGTGAAATGCGAATGGAGAACTGACCTTAGAATCTGATCGAGGACTGCTGTTTCTCTCTCTAGAAAAATTGGCAGAGCTTCGCTATAAGAATTTTGCACAAGGAGGAGTGCCTGACCTTGGGGTATTTATAGGCGCTGGAATCCGGGCTTGGGCCTGGAAACCGGGCCTCCGGATGGACCATCATCATTGCGCGCCGTGTCTTCGCCCAACCGGTGACGCCGCCCACGGACAGCCAACCATCACGTGCCACGTGTACCCCCCCCCAACGGCTATATCTCGACGTTACATATTCCAACGGCTATATCTCCAACGGCTGTATTCTGGGAGCCCCCGGAATTTCTTACTTCACTCCACTTCATCAAGGAGAGCCTCCGGGCACACTTACCCTGAGACGCCCCCGGGTTGTGCCCACACAGTACATAACAGTCGCCTTCGGGATCACTCCTTCAGAAGCTCAAGGCTTCATATCAGGCCACCCCTCGGGGATTCCCCCTCAGCGCTGTAAGGGCCGGGGTAGCCCCCAGGGAGTATACCTCATTGACGGATAGCCTACGGCACACAGGTAATGAGAGCCCTCGGATATCCTCATCACCAACTAATCAGCAAGCACGAGCAATGATCAACTATTGCCCTCATCCATCACGCCCTCGATCCCCAGATTGAGGGGCTACCCTTCGGCACCTCCCAGGACATCAACAGCAAGCCTTCGGCTAATCAACACATGAGCCCTCAGAACAAGGAGAGCCTTCGGCATTACCATTATTCTCCATTTTTGACCAAGGTTTCACATTTTCGATTCATCGTTGGGGGAATTCGGTGCACTCTTTTTCCTTCATTAGGATTTTTTCCCCCAGGGTTTTTCCTAATGAGGTTTTTAACGAGGCACCCCCCCCCCCCCCCCCCAAAATGAAACGAAAAGCGTCAGCCTTCGGCCCCATGCTACAACGGACTAAACTCTACTCCTTTTCACCACTTTACAAGTGCCTCAAGGAGTGGGGGACTGGAGAGCCCCTTCGGGAAAATCATTAAATTACAAAATTGGTGAAAATTTCCAACAGGCAGCAAAGCAATCCCTCAAGTCCCGACATGTGGGTAACTGAGGGACTGCCTTCGGCAGGGACATGCAAGCAACAACTCCTCACCAACCTCAGAGATTACAACGGAACAACGGCAGGGGACAAACACAAATTACTCCTTTTCCCTCAAGTACCTTTCGGCAAAAGGAGTGAGGGACTCCTGATGGAGTATATGGCCCGGGAACACCCGGCCCACAGACTCCTACTACTCCAGTAAAGGCCCAACATGCCCAGAAGGCCAACAGGCCCAAATCACAGCGCCCAGAGTACCAAGCAGCCCGCAAGGCGCACCAGGGGTGCCTTCGGCCCCCTGGCCGAAGGCTCTAAACTCTCACAGAACGGGTTTCTCAAGCAAACTAAGAAATTGGGAAAACGGCAGAAAACAGTAGCCCTCAGCACCTGGAGCCCTCGGCACCCAGGGGTCCCCGGCACTCAGAGCCCTCGACTAGTCCTCCGCACCCGAGGGCACCTCTCCCGACATAATATCCGCGCCACATGCGTACAGATCACCGTACCCTGTACAACGTCCCATCCAACAGCCGCATTAAATGCGGCCACATGCGGCTGCCAGCGCCAACCAGTTGAGGTGACCTCTCGGCCAATGGGCGCTTGACACGTGTCCCTGTCCGGCATTTATTGCTACTATAAATAGCACCCCTTTTCCCCATTTGTAACCAAGTCATAAACGCTCCACACTTTATAATATACTTTCTCTCTCTATATTTACCTGCTCTGACTTTTCTCTTATTACTCCCCGTAATAACCCCTCGGATAAGCTACCCCCGGGTACACTATCCATCAAAAATATAAAAGAGTAATGAGAGAAAGAAGATATTGTTAATGATTTCTTTACTTGGATTAATTTTTTTATAGAAAAATAATAAAAATACCCCAAACTTTGAAGGGGTGTGACGTAAACACCATAAACTTGCATATGTAATTTAAATACCCCAATTTTTATATAAAATGGTATCTTCCCATCATTGTCATGCATTGTTTCTTTCAAAAATTAAAAGGTATGAGGTTAATTGCTTAATTTAAAATAGCAAATTAAAAGTGTTGCAATTATATAGATTGAGGGAAACCTTATTTAGAGAAAAATAATTAAAATACCCCAAACTTTGATGGAATGTGAGATAAGCACCCTGAACTTGCATATGTAATTTAAATACCCCAAACTTTATATAAAAAGTTATTTTAGCACCATGATCATGTATTATTTTTTTCCAAAAATGTTAACTTTTGGTGTTTATTTTATAATTTGATAATTTTTAGCTTTCATAAAGATACAATGAACATTCTAAGGTTCCATTGTAAACTAAATAGTATTACCCACCATTATATATAATTCTATTTTTTTAATTTGCTATTTTAAATTATGCATTTAACCCAATAAATTTAAATTTTTGAAAGAGATATTACCTTCGTCCCGTCGGAAGATTCTCATAGCAAAACGGCACGATTATTTAGACAATAATTAAATAAAGTAGTTCGAGTACATTTTGAGAAATAGTTTTAATAGATATATATTATAATGTAGCTAGTATTGATAACTGTGATGTAATAAATGTATTATTTTTAATATTTAATATTTAATTTGTCACTCAAGATTGTTAGTTGTTTCCTAAAATGGAAATGAGAACCTTTATAGGGGACGTCCATAAAAGGAAAGTGAGAATCTTCTAATGGGATGAAGGGAGTAATAAATAATCATGGTGTTAAAATAACTTTTTATATAAAGTTTGGGGTATTTAAATTACATATGAAAGTTCGGGGTGTTTATCTCACGCCCCTTCAAAGTTTGAGATATTTTAATTATCCCCCCCTATTTATTTCGCAATACAAGTTTAGAATATTAATTGTGTCTTTATGAATTCTAAAATATTTTAAATTATGCAATTAGCACCATAAACATACATTTTTGAAAGAAATAATACATAAAATGGTACGAAATTAACTTTTTATATAAAGTTTGGATTATTTAAATTACATATTCAAAATATTTTTTTTCCTTTTTTTAACAATTTGGTCTGGTGTGATTTCACCTAGTTTACATCTTTTCAATCCCAGATCAGATCACAGCAGACTAGATCAGACAAGATTAGAACAAATTAGATCAGACTGTCGATAGTTATAAAAAATATAAGAAAAAAACCAAACATTTACGGATTTCAGTCCAAAAGTGTATACTCTACTCTAGTAAGTTCTACCGACTGCGCTATTTTGATACTTTCAGATTCCAAAGGGGATTCAATTGTCAATCCCCACCCTGCCGGGTGCTCTTACTTGTAAAGAGTAAACTTCCCTCTGCAAGCCCCGCGGCCAAGAGTAATTCTCTCATATTTCCTGCCTATTCTGTAATCATATAATAGACTCTCTAATGGCCGAGCAGGAAGAAGATCGCACAGCTTCTGCGGTCGCAAAGGACAATAAGCAATCTCCTCCGGTTAGTGATATCACTTCAATTTTTTTTTATTATTCTTACAGCTGACCTTATACAATCATATTGATCATACTCGTTGTATAAACAAAAAAATCAGTTTGTGGAGGTGATCTGCCACCGCACAGACAGGACATGGAGATTCGCTGCCGGTACGGAGGCTAAATTTTCCGTCAAAATGATAAATAGCAAGCTGGAATCCAGATTTTCTCTGCCGCCAGGAACGCATATTGAAGCCGTTAAAGACGGGGAAGAGCCCGTAATATTCGGCCCCAATTCGGTGCTCGTCGATTACGGGGATGGCTGGACTCTACGGACGGCTTCTGACGGCATTGGTATGTGCTAAGTATTACTCCTCACCACGTACTCCTCCTATTTGAAAAATTCCCTATTTTTGTTGTCCCAAAATGATTTTACACTTTCTATTTTAGGTACGTAAATAAGAATAAAGTTACAAACTTACCCTTACTTTTACTTTTTATTCATTAACTTAAAGACATTCATCTTTTGGGAAGATGAACAAAAGTGTAAAAAACAATAATCATTTATTGACACTCCTTAATACTTGTGCCAGTCAAAGTTTTCAATTTAATTCGGGACGGAGGGAGTAGTTGTTATTGGACAGATTTTATGCCCCATTTTCAAAATTATTATTATTTGCATCCATCAACTTAAAAATTGTGAAAGAAATGGGTTCAAAATTAAACGATTTTATAGTAAAATGGGTTTCATATATTAATGACTTTAAAAATATAATGCAAAGTCAAATATCACTCGAAAAGTGTGACGCAAAGTCAAAATCTTCTTATATTTAGAGAATCTTCTTATATTTAGACTCCATTTGGTAACACTAAAATTGATTGAATATTTTGATTCTGTTGAAATTTATGAAATTCTGCATGAAGTTATTGGATTGCCTGATTTTGATGATTTATAAAAAAATAATTTAAAATATTTTTTTATTAATAAAATAAAGAAAGACTTCTAGAAGTTTGGGAGAGAAAGGCATCGAGTGGCTAACATGTTTCTTCAACATGATTTGGAGAAACAACAAAATGTCAATGACTTGGCGGAAGAGTACTCTCATTCCCTTGTTTAAAAATAAGGGTGATGTACAAGAATGTGCTAACTATCGAAGGATTAAGCTTATGAGTCACACCATGAAACTTTGGGAGCGAGTTTTGAGCAAAGAATTCATAAAAGTGTGAAAATTTCGGAGAATCAATTTGGTTTTATGCTTGGACGCTCAACAACTAACAACTGAGGTCATTCACCTTCTTAGACAGGTTGTGGAGAAGTATAGAGACACTAAAAAAGATCTGCATTTGGTGTTCAATGACTTAGAAAAGGCATATGATAGGGTACCTCGAGAAGTTCTTTGGTGGGCATTAACTAGAAAAGACATATCACGTAAGTATATCAGTATCATCATGGATATGTATGTTGCTTGTACTACAAGTGTCTGCACTAGTGTAGGGAGGACCACAAAGTTTCCTATTACTATCGTAGTGCACCAAGAATCTGCTCTGAGTTCTTTCTTATTTGCTATAATCATGAATGAACTTACGAAGTCAATTCAAGAAGATATACCATGGTGCATGATGTTTGCCGATGATATTGTATTGATTGATGAGACATAATCCGGTGTTAAAGCAAAGTTGAAATTATGACGACAAATATTGGAGACCAAGGGTTTCAGACTGAGCCGAAGCAAGACTGAGTATATGAAGTGCAAGTTTGGTGGAGGTAGAAGTAGTAACAACTCTAGGATTCCTCTTGATGGTAAAGAGATACCGGTGTGTGATATGTTCCGTTACTTGGGCTCCATAATTCAAAAGGGCGGTGAATTGGATGGAGATGCATGCCATAGAATCAGAGCTGGATGGATGAAATGGAAGAGTGGTTCAGGATTTCTATGCGATTGAGGTATGCATTAATGTATGTCGTAGAGTGTTGAGCGGTAAAGCAATGACACATTCAAAAGATGAGTGTGACAGAGATGCGTATGTTGCGTTGGATGTGTGGACATACCAGAAAAGACCGCTTGAGAAATGAGATAATCAGACAAAAGGTGGGAGTAGCACTTATAGAAGATAAGATGCATGAGTCTCGTTTGCGATGGTTTGGTCATGTGCGTAGAAGACCGAGTGATGCACCTGTTAGACGACTTGAGGGGTGAGGACAAGAGACAGAGAAGAGAGGGAGGGGAAGACCCAAACATACTTGAATTAGAGGAATCAGAATTGATATGCGTCTTCCTGGGTTGGATGAGAGCATGACTTTAGAGAGAGCAAACTGGAGGGCTCACATCCGTGTGGACGATTGATATTTTTTCTACTTTTTCTCTCTTTTTGCTTTTATTGTTTATCTTCTTTATTTTTTCATATTCTTATGTTATTTTTATCTTCTAACATTTTTATGCTCTTTTATTTTTTATCTTTTATCTTTCTTATATTCTCGTGTTATTGTTATGTTATATTTATTTATCTTTATTTTGTTCATTTTATCTTACTTTTTTTTCTTCCCTTTCTTGTTTGTCCGTCCTCTCTGTTTGGCATCGATATCATAGATCGATTCATGTTAGCTGACTCTAAATTATTTTGGGATTAAGGCTTGGATGTTGTTGTTGTTGAATAAAATAAAGAAAAAATTATATGAAAAATAGCTAAAATGATCTTTTATAGTAACTTTAGCCAATACAGTAAGAAAAGAACTTCAACCCTACTTTTATATATTATTAACAATTTAACACTGAAATAAAAAATTACGTGTTTGGTGAAAAAGTTGGGTGATATGCTTGATAAATCAAAAAACATGGTCATCATATTGGCTCTTAATTTACTAATCTATTACTACCTCCTTGAGAGTTGAGACAGCGATGGTCAAGATTATAAAAAACTGATATTTTGAAAATCAAGTTAAAAAATATTTAAGACTTAGTTAGTTAGTTTTATACGGTTATAAAAATACCTTTCCGTATCAAAATCAATTCTCCCTCCCCAGTCTGAACTTGTTGATGTTTGACCATTACTATTTCTATTACATATACTCCGTATTAAAACAAATTTCTCAAGTGTTTTCATGTTATGAAATGATATTGTTTAAATAATTAACCATCAAATTAGCAAATTTTGATTCAGAAGTCGAAGTGAGAAGTTAATTAGTGAACTGAGGTCGTATATGAATCTCAGTAAGAGTGTGAATGTTCCAAGTAAAAAAGTTGCAACTAAATAAAGCAAGTACATATATATAGTTATAAACTGTACATAATTTACCCTCTCTTTTCCATATTACCTGTTGAAGTCATTATTCTTGAGTCAAAACTCAGCCCTATTAGAATATTGAATTTTGTGTACTATATTTTTCATATTCCAATAACGTGATTGCGGTTCAGCAAAACTTTTAGGGTATTTCTTATAAACCTTTCACTTCTAGACAAGTTATATGGAAGTATGGAACAAAAGAAGTACTCCGAATTATATACTACACTACGTATAATGATGGAAATTTACTATTTTCATAAAGATTCTTAATTTTAAGTAGGATTATTAGCTAAATATATCCTCAACTATCATCAAATTCACAACTCTATCCCATACTTTTACTTTTATCAAAAAAGACTCAAATTTCAATTTTTCTCATAATTAAACTTTCAATAGATGTATTAGTAAAACTTAAGAACAAAATCATATTTATATTTCATATTTTTCACTTCTTTCTAGTTTTAAGTTTACAATTTGTATTACCTACATCTTATTGGCTTTGATAAAATTTGTAATTTTGAAAAAAAAAACAAAAAATAAAACCATAATTGTTGAAAAAGATGAAGTTTGAGTCTTTTTTTGATAAAAGTGAAAGAATAGGATAGATTTGTGAATTTGATGATAGTTTGGGATAAAATAAGCTAATAATCCTTTTAAGTATATCTTATCAACAGTGTCTAAATTTGAATCTTTTTTTGTTGCATTGAGAACGAAGTTCATGCCGCCAGTAATGTTCGTTTTTTCCGTTCAGAATCTGAACAAAGAAAACCACTGCGGAAAAAAATTATTTACTTTACGTTTTCAAAGAAGTTAAACAGAAAAAATAACTTTGCCAGACAATGGTTTCACAATTTTTCATCAGACTTGTTATTGTGGGGAGCATCCCTATGAATATGATTTTTAACTACCCAACTTCTGACTAGGTTTTGGAAGGTCTATGCAGGAGAACATGGTAGTGATGGGACAGGCATATAATCCTGTGACCACGGTATGAAATTTCTCTGTTCTTTTGAACTATCCTCTATCATTGTTGTTGTTGTTGATGGTTTTATGTTATTGTTATCATTACTGATCTTACCTTTGAAAAGTTTTCTGCAATGCAATTGCCAACTTTAGTGAACAAAAACGAGACACAACAGGGATATATTAGAATGCATGAAAGAGAAGTAAAAAGAATAAGCTCTTAACTCACTATAGGATCTGATCAGAATCATCAGATATAAATTGTAGTAGCTGAAAGTAACTTTGATGTTCATTGGTTTGAGATGGTTTTCCAGCGGTGCAAGAACTCGAGTTCTTACTTTTTCACAGTTGTTTCGTGATTTCTCAATATGCCTTTGACTGCCAAATGAAGTCGTTTCCAAGTCAGTTTCTATTGATAAATACCCCCGACAGAACAAAGATGACATAGGAAAAATGCTGAGGCAGGTAGTATGCTTTTACTTCCAAGGAATTGCTATGATGACAGTAACATTGAGCATCATGGAGAGTATTTAAAGCATATTTCTAGTTAAAGTGTGCATAGGTTTTCTTACACAACACTTAATTTTTATAATCAGAAGGGACACCATGGCGCGAGTGGCGGGCTTGGGGGTAAGTGCCCCCACTTCCGACCCCAAAATTTAGTATTAGTACTTATGACAAATTGACAATGATCATGGCCCCTATCCGGACAAAAAAAACTAGTAGATGTTGGTGTAATTCTGTCGAACAACATATAACAATTGTAGTGAGAAATGTAAATGATCACAAAATTGTGATGTAGTGATTCCCGAAGTGTCGCATTGTGGGGATGTCAATGTGCACAAGGTTGCCTAATAACAAAAGAAAAAACTTACTCCCTCCGTCCCATAAAATAAGTCCCACTTTCCTTTTTGGGTCGTCCCAAAAAATTGTTCTCATTTCCCTTTTTGGAAAGTTTTGTGTGACTAACATTCATTTACTTTTTTTTTACTCAACTACAACCATACATTTCCACTTTATTCCCACTTTCTTAAACTCCGGTCCAAATTGAAGTTAGACTTATTTTATGGGACAGAGGTAGTAATTTTTAATCAGTAAAAGACCGTGGTATAGATGTATTTGATTGCATGAGGCAGATAATGGGATTTAAGACGGCCTTGATACAGATGTATTAGACTGGTTGAGGCAGACAATGGGGATTTAAGCTTTAATTAAAGTGATTCTCAATCACATGAAAGGTCTATAACTTGCAAGAATCTCCTTTCGCCCTACTGTTGTTCTTTAGCTCTCCGTCAAATGTCAATCTGTATTTTCGTGCAATGAATATTATTAATTATATGGTACATGCATTTGCTTAACCATCCTAGCGGTGCCATCTGTAGATATTAAATGATGGAAGTATGTTAGTAAGTGGCAAAATAGATACCCTACTCCTATTTCTTTCACAGTACTTGTACTAAAATGTGGTTGCCATAATTCCCTGTCATCAGGAAAGTGATGAGATTCAGAGATGCATTGAATTTTAGTTGTGCAATTTTGGTTATAAAGGAATTACAATTTTGGTTGTAATTCCTTTATGGGAAACTCATTGCATTTAAGATCCCTTTTCTTGTCATTTTTGTTTCCTGAACTGTGATCTGTGTATGCTGATGAAATAGCTGTTTGTGTCTTTACTGATGTGTTTTGGTCATTTTTTCTAGTTAAAATTTAAGTTTTTCAAATAATACTTTAAGTAATACTTGTAATTTACAACTCGTTCAATCTGCAGGGATCCGATGATAGCCAATTCAAGAAGAGGGCCCCACAAGCTATTTCTTTGACCGTATACATGGGAAAGATATTGCTTGCATTTATATTTATATTTTTGTTAGGTGCAATGTTCACATTGATTCTGGAAAGCCTTCCAAAGCTCGTTGAGTATCACGAACGAAATAAAGAAACCGAGTGAAAAAAGGTCTTTCCTTCACGTGTTAATTTATTTCACACAAACCTGCCGTAAGAATGTATCAAGAATTATTTACTGATTATAGTGTAGCGATCTTGTTATTTGTTTGTATAAGTTGATAGTGCGATTATCATTTTCTTGAAAATATCTCATTTTTGTATTAACTCCTAGAGAGAAGTGAGAGCTAGAGAGAGAAGTGCTATAAATGTTTGATATTAATGATTTGTGAATCCCCTACAACTACTCTCAAGGGGACTAGAGGAGTATTTGTAGAGGAAATTAGGGCTGGGCTCTCAAGTCTTGGACTTGGGAGGCTCATTTACAATTGGGCCATTATTGGGCTGAGTACAAAAAGTGTAGAAGTAATTTAGTGTGAAGTCCGGTTCTGGGAGCTCTCTGTGGTCGACGAGTGTCTGGCCGACGGAGGCACGGCCGACGGGGACACCCGGTTCTCCTGGCTTCTGGATCATGTTCTGGGTTGTTATCTTTTTGGTCGATGGGGGGGTCATGTGGCCGACGGAAGCCTCACCGGGTGACACTTTTGCCTTTCATTCTTCTGAGTATGTGGGTCCTGGAGTCTAGACCCATATACTCCATCAGGAGTCCCCCACTCTCTGAACTGAGATGTAGACGAAGTGAGGAGAGTAGATTTCATAGTCTTGATGTCTTCTGGCCGTCGTGGCCATTTCCTGTTTTGGTTCTTCGTGTTGGCCGTTGTATGCTCTTCACTGTGGACGAAGAAGGCTGATGTTCCTCTGATGGGGTAAGTTTGCTTGTTTGAAGATGGTGAGTGTTCTGGCTCAGTTGTCGATATGTGCTCTTGATTTGAATAGCCGACGCGGGTGATGTTTCTTCTTTCTGGTCATTGGCGGTTACTTTCGGTGACTTGGCCGAGGAGGCCTCATGATTACTTTCGTGCTTCAGGGCGAAGTGGTGGTATCCGTAGTTTGGTGTCCATCTTTTAGGACGATAGCGGCGCTGACTTAGAAGGAGTGCGTATTTTGATCTTATGGACGATGAGGACCTGAGGACGTTGTGTTCCCGTTTTCTCATCTTGGCCGAGAGTGGAGTATGTGATCTCAAAGCCGTTGAGTGGCGCGCGTCAAGGGACGATACACGTCACATTTTGGGAGGAGTTATACTTCTTTGTTTGGTGACTTTGTTGCGGCCGAGGGTGCACCACAAGGTCATGGACGTTATGGTGCCTGTATGATATAATGTTGTAGTTGTGGACTTGGTGTGTTTTTGTTTTTATTTTATTTTGTCCTTTCTTGCATTCCAGAGGCCGGTGTAGTCCCCCAGTCCCCCACTACTTCAGGCTGAAGAGTGAGCAAGGGGTGAAGGAGTAAGGTGTGACCCTACGCCGATGCGGGATCCTTGTATTCCCCTGAATCCAACCCCTTGGCGATTCCTGACCAAGGTAACCCTGTGGGAGAACCCTTGGACGCGGGTCGCTTTCAAAAAGTTATCATCACGATTTTATACAAGGCCGATGGCTGTTTGATGGAGTATATGGGTCTGAGCCCCAGGACCCACATACTCGGAAGAACAGAGCACAAGACAACAGAGTGGCGCCCTCGTCGGCCGAGACGCCCCCGTTGGTCGAGAAGAAGCCAACTCGGATCATGGTCCTGAGTCCAAGGAACCCGGGTGCCCTCGTCGGCCGTGCCCTCGTCGGCCGTGCCCTCGTCGGCCGTGCCCTCGTCGGCCACGAGGACCTCCCAGAATCGGATCCTATACTTACTCATTTGTACAGCCCATTAGAGGCTTTGTATCCGGCCCAGTAGCGGTCCAGTTGTAAATGGGCCTCCCAAGCCCAAGGCTTGGGAGCCCAACCCTAATTTTCTCTATAAATACTCCCCTTGGGAGTAGTTATAGGGGTTACAAATTCATTCTATTGAAGCATATTATTGCACTTCTCTCTCTAGCTCTCACTTCTCTCTAGAATCTAAGAGATATACTCTATCATTTGGTGCTCTCATTGAGAGCTAGAACAATCAAGTTAGCACCCTTCGTCGCTACCAAGCACAGCTAACCACTGATCATGGGGAGAATTAAGTCAAACCGCAACCTCGTCAGCAAAGCCATCCCTGAGGACCAAGAGCCCAGGGAGCACGATGAGGACGCCACGGCCGACCAGGTCGGCGGAGGGGACCTCTTCCAGGAAGCCTTCAACCTCACGACGGACCTCCGCAACCAACTCAACAGCGGAGTCCCCGACGCCCGCCTCGGCCTGGAAAAGAGACGGGCTGAGAAGACGGACCACGCCCCGGCCCAGCCTATGGCCGCGGCCTCTCCGTCCGTGGATCCACAGGTCCAGGCCGCGCTGTTGGTAATCATCGCCAGCCTGGCTCAGAACCCCACCGTCCTCAGCGCGCTCTTGCCAAGGACCGGGGGAAACGTCACTCCACCTCCTCATCCCCAACCACTGGCCGACCAGATAGGCAACAATGAGGGGGTTGTGGCCCAGGACACGGCGTCGTCCCACTCCCACCCTGCTTCCCCTCTTCGACCCGGGCAGACCCCAGCGCGTGGAAAAGCCTCTGCCTTTAATAGGCTAGGTGACACGCGCCGTCGTCCGGTTTCGGAGAGGATGGCGGGACGGATTGGTGATCTTCGTCCTGGCTCGCCAAGGGAAAGTTTGGGGTCTGTGTCTCGGACAGCGGATCAGCCCCGCCCGGACAAGGGCAAGGGGAAGTTGCACGAGGATGACGCGCGTCACCAGATCAACGCGGCTCACGACGAGCGCCTGAGGAACCAGCCGGGCGCCGCTGCGGCCGATAGGGACCCCCGGGACGAGGTCATCGCCCAGCTGGAAAGGAGGTTGGCTCAGATGGAGGCCAAACATTCGGCTAACGTCCCTACGGCCGGCGCCTCCAACGACCCCGGTCTCAACGCGCTCATGAACAAAGTCAGCGCCCTGGAGAGGGAGCTGGCCGAAGGGCGGGGTGACCCCATCATCCAGGTCAGGACTAGGACCCCTTTCACCAACAGGGTCCTCTCGGCCCCCATCCCTGAGAAGTACAGGGGGAACGCCATCAAGTCCTACGATGGCCGATCAGACCCCTAGGAGCACTTCAGCCGCTATCAAAACAACATGCTGATGGTAAACGCGTCCGACGAATACCTCTGCCGTTGGTTCCTCTCTACTCTCGAGGGGCCAGCGTACGAGTGGTTCAACGGACTGCCAGAGGGAAGCATCGACTCATGGCAAGATCTCGCCCAGCGCTTCCTCACTCACTTTGCCGGGAGGAAGCGCGCCAAGAAGTATTTCACCCACCTCCTCTCCGTCAAACAGCAGCACGAGGAGTCCCTCCGGTCATTCATCGACCGGTGGACGAGGGAGACCGAGGAGGTCGAGGGGGCCGATGAGCGCACCCTCCTCGCCTTGTACCAGGGAGCCCTCCGCAGCTCCCCGTACGCCAGGAGCCTCATCACCGACCCCCCGAGGTCGTACGCCAAGGCGCTCCAACGCGGAGGCTTGTATGCCGACGCTGACGAGCTCCACAATCACAAGAGAGAGGGGGGCCATCCCCCCAAGAAGACAAATCCTTTGCCGGCCTCGGGTCCGTCCCCGGCCGGCCAGGGTGCCCAGGGCCGCCACGGCTCTGGTGGACAAAGTAAGAAAGACCGCCACTGGCGGCCGAGGCTGGAACGGCCGGGGGTAGCCCTCACCCACCCGGTCGGCACCATCCTCGATTATGCCGAGAAGCATGGCCTCATCGAGCAGGCTCCTCGGCCGGCCGAGGAGATCCTAGCCATCCAGCAGGGCGGCATGTACTGCCGGTTCCACAAGAACTCGTCGCACAACACCGACGATTGCATCACATTGAAGAAGGCCATCGAGCGCCTTATTCGCCAGGGGGAACTCTCCCAGTTTGTCAAAGGTGGCCCACGGAAAAACACTTGGGTAAACACCGGCAAACGTGGGGGCGAACCCTCTGCGAAGAAGCGCGAGATTGGTAGGCTCAGCGACGACGAGGACTTCGAGGAGCCTCCGCCGAAGAAGAATCACATCCACCTCATCGTAGGCGGGAACACTGGGGGGGACTCCGCCACTCAGAGAAAGAAATGGGCCCAATCCCTTTACATTGGAGAGGTGTCCCACGTTCCCCCCCAGCCGAAGAAGCAGCGAACGGAGGCGATCACCTTCACCGACAAGGATCTGCCTCCGGGTACGGAATCACACAGGGACGCCCTCGTCATCCGATGTGAGATCGGTGACTCCATCATCCACCGAACTTACATCGATACGGGGAGCTCCGTCAACGTGATGTACCTAGACACCTTCAAGCAGCTGAAGCTGGACAGAGCTATGCTGAAGCCGATCAAGACCCCGTTATCCGGCTTCACCGGGGACTCTATCGACGCCGAGGGCACGATAGTCCTCCCCGTGGAAGTCGGTGACGGCCCCCACCATGCCAAAATTGACATGGAGTTCATGGTGGTCAACCTCCAGTGCGCCCACAACTTGATCTTGGGCCGGCCAGCGCTGGAGGACTTGGAGGCCATCATCTCCATGAAGCACCTATGCTTGAAGTTCCCCACCAATGACGGCATCGGCTACGCCAGAGGAAATCAGAGGATAGCCAGAGCTTGCTACCTCAAGCTGACGAGGCCGGCCGAAAGGGAAGGACAGCGGATAGACACCATCACGGCCGCCGTCGCCATGGACGAGGAGAGGCCACATGCGGAGCCGGCCGAGGAGGTCGAGGAAATCCCTCTGGATACCTCCCAGCCGGAGCGGGTTCTCAGGGTCGGAAAGCAACTCCCCCAGGACCAGCGAGACGCCATCCTCCTCGTCCTACGGTCATACGCCGTTGTCTTCGCGTGGGGCCCGGACGATATGCCCGGCATCAGCCGCCAGGTGATCACTCACCGGCTGACCGTCGATCCGGCCTCCGCGCCCGTCAAACAGAAGCGGCGCTACTTGTCCGCTGACAGGCGGGACTTCGTCAAAGGGGAGGTCGCCATGCTCCTATCGATCAAACATATCAAAGAGGTGAAGTACCCAACATGGTTGGCCAACGTCGTCCTCGCACAGAAACCGCCGACGTTCAGAATGTGTGTTGACTACACTGACCTGAACAAGGCGTGCCCCATGGACCCGTTCCCCCTCCCCAACATTGATCAGTTGGTGGACGAGACGGCAGGGTGCGAGTTGATGTCGTTCCTCGACGCTTTCAGAGGGTACCACCAGATCTCCATGCACGAAGATGACGCCGAGAAGACGACATTCATGACCCCAGAGGGAATATTTTGCTACCTCGTCATGGCCTTCGGACTCAAAAACTCCGGCGCCACCTATACTAGGATGGTGGCCAAAATCTTCAGAGCGGTCCTTGGCCGGACGATGGAGGCGTACGTCGACGACATGATCGTCAAGAGCAGGCAGGCCACCTCCCACGCCGACGACCTCCGGGAAATCTTTGAAATCATGAAGGAATTCAGGCTCCGCCTTAACCCCAAGAAATGCGCCTTCGGCGTCCAAGGCGGCAAGTTCCTTGGCTACATGGTCAGCCGGAGAGGCATCGAGATAAACCCGGAGAAGACGCAGGCCATCATCAACATGGAGCCGCCCCGCAACGTCAAGGAGGTACAGCGACTGACGGGGCGCCTGGCGGCCTTAAACCGGTTCCTCTCCAGGTCAGCTGAGAGGGCACTCCCCTTCTTCCAGATCATGCGCAAGGCAACCAGCTTCAGGTGGACGACGGAGTGCCAGGAAGCATTCGACGAATTGAAAAGGTACCTGTCGTCCCCACCCATACTCTCCAAGCCCAAAGCCGACGAAACCCTCTTCCTGTACTTGGGGGTGAGCACGTCGGCCATCAGCTCCGTGCTCATCCGTGAGGACGAAGGGGTGCAGAAGGCCATCTTCTACATCAGCAAGACACTTAGGGAGGCCGAACTCAGGTACTCCCCCATTGAGAAGACGGTGCTGGCCATCGTCCACACCGTGAAGAAGCTGGGGCACTATTTCCAATCCCACACCGTCCATGTGCTAACCCAGCAGCCTCTCGGCGCGCTCATGAGGAGCCCCACTAGCTCCTCGAGGATGGTGAAATGGGCGATCTTCCTCAGCCAGTTTCAAATTGAGATCAAGCCAAGGCCATCTATCAAAGGGCAAGCCTTGGCCGACTTCGTCATCGAATGCACAGCAAGGGAGACGGCCGTCGCCAACCCCGGGCCGGAGCCGGACGACACGTGGACCCTGTTCACTGACGGCTCGTCGGCCGCGAAATCATGCGGCGGCGGCGTCTTCCTCATATCCCCTGAAGGATTCAGAGCCTACTATGCCATCCGCTTCAACTTCAGGGTATCCAACAACGAAGCCGAGTATGAGGCCCTCCTCAGCGGTCTCAGACTCGCCGCCGGCCTCAAGGCCAAGCACCTCAGAATCAAGTGCGATTCCAAACTGGTAGCGGTCTCAGACTCGCCACCTGCTGTTGTGGCCGTTGAAGGGGCCCTTTCTGTTGGCAGCGTGTTAAGCCGATATGGGCCCACTTTGTGGTGTGACCAACCAATGAAATGATTATTGACTGCTAGGGCCGATGTAGTCGTGCCATATGGAGGCAGATATTCCTTCTTGGTGTGGCCGTTGAATGCCTTGGCCGATATGAATGCTGACTGCTGGTACGTTGGCAATGGACTGGTACTGATGGAAGTGGGCCTGGCCCATCTTCTGTACCGGTGGCAGCTTATTGGGCCTTGGGAGTGGTGGCCGTTCATGTGGCCAATGGGGGAGTGCCACGTGTAGTGACCGTTGGGAGGGAGGTCTATAAATACCCCCCTCTTTTCGAAGGAACACCCTATTGCATTCTGAGATAATGAAGCGCTGCCCAAATTTCTAGAGAGATAAAGGCTTGTTCGAGTGTTCTTCAAAACTTCAAAACTTCAAAGGTTAGTTCATCAAACTTTTCTCCTCTTTTTTATATACTTTGCTTCCCTAAGCGTTGATCTAGTGTTAGTCAAAAACCAACCTTAGATCTAAAGTAGTTCCCTTTAAGGCTCCGTTAGCTGTTAAGATGAAGACTCTGGACGAAGAGTACTATCCGTATGACGATGAGGCTTCTGTCAAATCCCTTGACTACCGAGTGGTGGAGGAGTGTTGCGAGGAGATAGAGGATTTGAGCTCCTTCAAGTCAGGGGAGCAAGAGGACGAGGAGAACCAGGACGAGGAGGCCGCCTCGTCATCTGAAGGTGAGGACGTAGGGGTCTCTCGTGCCGTGGGCGGAGCATCTACGTCGGCTACTATTCCCTGCCCAAAGCCGGTGTCTGCTGTTAAGGGGACCGCCCCGAAGAGAAGGCTCCGGTTGAAGAAGGGTCACACTTTCTCCTTCTCGGATCTCACCAAAGTCCGTATCATCAGGCCGCAGAGCTGCGCGGCCGAGTACCTGGTTGCCCAGATGTACGTGGGACCATTTGGTAAGGTTAAGGCGCCCAAGCCGACGGACCACGTACCTAATCCATCGTCGGGCTACTTTGAGGTATACCCCATGAGTTTTGCCAAGGGGCTCAGGTTACCCCTTCATCCGTTCATTACTGAATACTTGGACATGATGGAGCTTCCTTCGGCCCCGCTAACCCCAAACAGCTATTCGTTGATCATCGGCTTTCTCCTTCGCTGTGCCGAGTTAGATTTCAAGCCGACAACGACCCTCTTTATGAACCTGTATCAGATAGGCCGGGTAGCCACCAGAACTGTGCCGGCTATGCCAATCTGCAGCAGGTGAAGAATGGGAGGTCCTTCTCTTATCTCCCGACGTCTATCCATGGGTGGAAAATCAAATTGTCTTCGTGTCTCTGGGCGAGGGTGGGACTGAGTTTCCTTCCGTCGGCCACAACGGGAGGTTTAACCTCCATGATGCGTCGAAGAGTTCAATTTTGGACGCTCAAGTGGTGGCGTTCTTGGAAGGGGGCCGAGGAGCGTGAAGGAGTGCATCACGGAGTATAAGATGGCCGCCCTCGGCTACTTGAGATACTTCGTCCATGGGGACGCAGAGGATGACGTCGAAATTTGGCCAAAGATGACTACCACTTTTGAGGAAGCCGATGGCCCGGATTTGGGCGTGCCTGCCGATGGTAATGCCTTCCCAAAATACTTGATCCCATTTTCTTTTGTGTGCTTTGCTAATGTTTGTTTTCTTTTGTGCAGACTTTGTCATGGATCGCCGATCTGTCATGATCAGGGCGAAGGCGAAGGTGGCCGCCGAACATGCTGCAAAGAATGCTGCGAAGCAAGTCGCCGAGGCTGGAGCACAGTCGAGCGCTGCTTAGACGTCAAAACCGCCCACCCAGCCGAAGAAGAAACGACACACCGACGAAGGCCAGAAGAAGCTGACTGAGGCCGGCATGCAACCTGCCAAGAAGTCAAAGAGGGCTTCTCCCTCGGCCGAGGCTGATGCTGATGCTGCGACCGTGCCGGCCGGAGACGCTGGAGGTTCCAATGTTGTCACTGTAATCAACCTGACATCTGCTCCGTCGTCCACTGCTGTCTCCCAACTGATCGGCTGAAACTTGCAAGTGTACAAGTGCCAATGTAGTAATAAATTCCGGTAAAAATACCGGGTCGAACACAAGGAAACGTTGTTTATATGATTCAAAAGTGAAAGCGGTTTAGTGAAAGAATTAAGGAAAGAGTAAAACTTTTTGATTTTTTTAAGAGATAATAAAAGCAACCAAGGGTTCGGGATTACTCCTAAACGACTCCTAGTGATGAATATATGTTCTTTCGCCAATTCTTATGAGTGGAATGTCACTAAAGTATTCTAACTCCTGTTACGGCAGCGAGATTGTGATTAATTCTACGTGTGAATCCCGTCACGGTTCACATTCATCTAAAATTAACCCCATTGAAGATTAGGACATTATAAAAACCACCATACTCAATTGAGGTATATTTCTATCCACAATTAGAATATGTCTAACCTTTAAGTGCACGGTTTATAACTCAACGTTAATTGCTCAAATAAACCCAACGATATAATCATACGTTGTACACCGTAGTCATACACATTAAAATATAAAGGAAAGATCATAATAATTTGGTTGAGAACATACATCAAACACCTAGAGTGCGTAAAGTTTCATCCCTAACCTTGGCTATAGAAAATTAGCTAGAACAATTCATAATAAAATTACAAGTATTGAAATGATAAAATACAATGAAATACATAAGAAAATGATACCACAACTCCAAAGCTATGGTGGATAAAGCTTTCCCCAAGTGTAGAACTTCTCCCAAGACCAAGGGGTTGCTCTTGGGTTGCCAAAATAGAAGTAAAGTGTGTAGAATATGGAATAATCTCTTGAGAGGGCTTCAATCCTCTTAAATATTGAGTTCTCAACGGCCATTTTCGGACAAGGAAGCAAGCTCCTTAATGGGATTTGGTGTTTTGCCCGAATGATTGTGATGACCGTTGCTTGTTTTAATCAGCTCCAGGCGAAAGGCGGGCGACTTTCGCAAAAGCCGGGCGGCTTTTGCGAGTTTAAAACGGTCTTCTCCGCTCCAGGGACCGAAAGCCGGGCGGCTTTCGCCAAAAGTCGGGCAGCTTTTTGTTCGGTTTGCTGAATATTTTCCACGGCGCCCAAAGCCGGGCGCCTTTCATGAAAGCCGGGCGGCTTTCGTCTGTTTTTGCTCCGGGTGCTTTTCCTTCATCTTCGGACGGCAACGGGATGGCTGGTTGGTGAAAACCGGCCGGTTTTGGTGAAAGCCGGGCGGCTTTCACCCCTTTGGTGTATTTTCTCCTTTTTTCTTTTGTTCTCGGGATGCGTTTGGTTGACCTTTACTTGTCGGGATTCTTCGCGTGACTTTTCATCCTCGTATCTGATCCAATTGTCGGTTATAGTATTTCTTGCAAAACGAGACATATGTGTGAGAGTTTTATTCTTTTAAGTATAAAAGCGTTTATAAATTGTTGTATAAATTACGTTAATAAAACGCTTATCAAATACCCCCACACTTGAGCTTTGCTTGTCCTCAAGCAAATTTTAAAACTTTTTGTTTTAATAGAATTATTAGGTTAAAACCTTAAGAGAAAAAAAAAAGTTTTGGAGGACAAGGGTTTTGCTAAAATATTTTTTGAAAAAAATATGGATCAAAAGTAAACAAATTAAGGAGAAAAAATCTTGCAATTTAGAAGTTAAAGGAGCACCCCCCACACTTGTTCCACAATGTCTCAATGTGGATCACAAAGAACAATCAAAGCAAGATTAAACACACATAGCACAAAGACAACATTAGAGTCAAAATAACAATAAACAAGAGTTTGAGCAAGACTAGATAAGAGTTGTTTTAGTACACTTCCCTTTTTTTTCTTTTTCAACTTTACTCAGCGTTCTCATCTCCCTCTTCTCGGGGAGGGAAAAAGATGTTTGGATCGTAGGGCGGCGGCGGTGGTATGTTGAATTGTCTCCCCAGCTCTTGACAGTAGTAGTTCATGCTCCACAAATGGCTCCCCATTCCCTGGATAGCGTGGCGTTGATCTCTCAAGTCTCGTCTATGCACCGCAAGCTCCGTGCGGATTTGACCAAATTGCTCGGTCAAGTAGTCCATATCGTAAGGAGCTCCGGCTTGGGGGATGTGAGCTGCCTCTTCATGGTGCTCCTCATGGCCTCCCGCGGGTTCCCCACCTTCCATCATCTCCTCTTCATCCTCCTCCGGTACAACTCTATGGAACTTCGCCACACACCTCCATGGTCCTCCGTGCGGCGGTTGGAAATAGCGGAGGTGGGTCATGACGCTATCATCAAGCACGACATGCATCTCCCTTTCTTCTTCTCCTCTAAAACTAACACCAAAATGTTGAAAAATTTTAGAGAGTAAAATAGGGAAAATGAAGGCCTTATCTTGATTGTTGCTTAAGACCGCGCTCCACAATTGCTTGATGATGATGCCCGAGAGAGGAATCCCCTCATGACGATCAAGCCCGGTGTGCATCCTATATGCAAAGTAGAGGTCGGCACTTCGGATTTTGTTGTAGCCGCTCGCTCTTGACATGACGTTGAACGAGTAGAGGTACATCAAAAGCCGGGTCCGGATGTGAGGTTGGCCGAGGTTCTTCGTCATTAGATCCAGTCCTTGCAGCCCAAAATATTGCATAGCTTCCATGGGATTGTAGTTCCCATCACTATTCATTGTTCCGGCTTGGGAAGGAGCGAAAGGGGTGCCGAACTTGGTGATGTGAAATTGAGAGCTCAAGAGGTCATTGGTGATAGTAATGTTGACCCCTTTGACTCGGCTCTCAATCATCTTCTGGGCATAATTCCCTTCAACATTAGCGAAGAACTCCTTTACGAGTTCCGGATAGAAGGTGCCTTGGAGATGTAGCACCGGTTCCCAATTGATGTTGGCGAAGGCGGCGGTGAGCTGGAATTCGTGATCAATAGGGGCTGAGATTGTCTTTTCAATCACAAAGTCGTTGTCCCGGGACTCGAGATAACGCTCGTAGCATTGAGTGTTCACAAACCGACTAGCCGGCAAGATAGTGGAGGAGGCCGCGGGTGCCTTGTTGTTCCTAGCCCGCTTGGGGTTGCTCGGGCCAGCCTCGTTTCTTACAGATTTGCCCTTTGACGCCATTTCAACCTACAAACTCAATAGATTATAGTCAATTTCTCAAAAAATTTTGACATGGATTTCCCTAAAAATTGACTATAATCACAATTTAGGATAACAAGGGGCAACATACTCACAATCTCATTCATCAACAATTAATCACAATAATTCAATTGAAAAACTCCAAATTTAATCAAGAATTTCGAACCCTAAGCCCCAATTTTAATCAAGTAGCAAAAATTTCAAAATTTTTAAAAATAACAACTTGAAAAGAGGTTATAATGGTTCATACAAGCAATATAGGCAACAATAACAAGATATCATGCAATGAATTTGGCCTAATAGCTATCAATTTGCAAGAACCCTAAATTTCGAAATTGGGAAGAACAATCAAAACTATCGATTAAATGATGTAAAAGTTGTGAAATAAGGATTAAGAAGTGAAAATGAGTGGATATTACCTGATTTGAGCTTGAAATTGGAAAAGAAATGTGAGAAAATGGATGCTATGGCAGCTGGAGCTCGAAAGTCGGCCGGCGTTTGGAAGGTGGGCGTGTGTTTGTGTTTAAAGGGAAGGGGTTTTAATAATTCCGCACCCCGAAAGCCGGGCGGCTTTGGCGAAAGCCGGGCGGCTTTCGCTTGACAGTAGCAGACCTGCACACGCAAGCCGGGCGGCTTACACGAAACCCGGGCGGGTTTCGATTTTAAAAATTCTGAATTAAGCTACGGCGCCCAAAGCCGGGCGGCTTTGGCGAAAGCCGGGCGCCTTTGGCGTGCGAGAAAAATACCTGGAAAAGCATGGAAGCCGGGCGGCTTTGGGGAGAGGCCGGGCGGCTTTCGTCGTTTTCACCTATTTCGCCCGTTTTTGTCAAATTTTCGCTTAACAATTCGAACTTCTTGCCTTTTTCTCTCCCCCTACACTTGAATTGAATTGTCCACAAGCAATAGGAGTATAAAAACAAAATAAAAGTAAAACATGTAAATAAAAAGGATATGAAATTGGGTTGCCTCCCAATAAGCGCCTTCTTTAACGTCGTTGGCCGGACGTTCTTCGTGATCATTTCTTGGATGGGTAGGGGGTGGTGTAGTACTCTTTGTGCAGCTTCAAATGATGGCTATTCACAACAAAAGGTGGATTACTTCCTTGTTGGATCATCATTGTTCCAAATGGCTGGACCTCGGTGATGGTAAACGGTCCCGATTAAGGGGATTTCTGTTTTTCGGGGTACAACCGGGACTTTGAGTCATGAAGAAGCACTTTATGCCCAATTTGTAGCTCGATTTCACCTTTCTTTTTGTCATGCCATGCTTCAACCTTCTCCTTGTAGATACGAGAATCCTCCTGAGCTTCCCGCTTTGAAGTACCTTGAGGTATATTATCAAAATCATTGATATTAAAACATGTGGAGTCGTTAGGAGGATTCTTTAGGGATTCCCAAACATGAAATTCTTGCTCCTCTTCTCCAATACGGAATTTCACTATTCCGTTCTTGACATCAATAAGAGCGCCCGCTGTGGCTAGAAATGACCTCCCGAGAATAACCGGAATCTCCATTTCATCCATTTCTAAAATAAGAAAGTCAACCGGGAGATAGAATTTGTCCACCTTCACAAGAACATCTTCCACCACTCCGATGGGATAACGGATTGTTCTATCCGCTAATTGAAGAGCTATAGTTGTTGGTTTAGGTTCCCCCACACCTAGCTTCTTGAATAAGGAGAGGGGCATAAGATTGATGCTAGCTCCAAGATCACAAAGGGACCTTACTTCTCCTAGACACCCAATAGAGCAAGGGATGGTGAAACTTCCGGGGTCCTTCAACTTTGGAGGTAGTTTGTTTTGGATGATAGCGCTACACTCCTCCGTGAGTGGTATGGTCGCAAAATCCGCTAACTTCTTCTTGTTATTGAGGATATTTTTCAGAAATTTCGCATATGAGGGTATTTCCGCTATAGCCTCAGCGAAAGGGATGTTGATGCTCAACTTGGTAAAAATGTCTAGGAACTTCTTGAATTGTTTT